TAATTTTTAGGCCACATTTTTCAAATGTGGCTTCTAAAGCAACACTTATAAAGCGTTTTCTTAGGGCAAATGTTACACTCATTTAGGCCACCCCTCAAAAAGCGTTGCCTTAGGTCCGAAAGTGTTGCCTTTGGTCAAATGCCACACTTTCGGATAGTTTAAGCAACACTTTTCAGGTATGGTTAAAGGCCTAAAATATTGTAGTGCTCGCTGCTGATAAAATTCATAGAGGATGTTCGACTTTCGGGTACTTGGGTCAAATTTCATCTTCTGTGGCCACTGCACCTTCGGGCCGAGCTTCTCTAGTGCGTACACTATTTCTAAAGGGAAAACACAAAAATTGTGAGCAGATAAGAGCGGAGGCATACCTCTTTCGCTCCGCTGAGTCCTTGTATGCGGCCTGGACGGTCCTTCCGCACTGCGAGGAGATGGTGGGACGGCTGTTCTGACAATAGGTTGGTGCCTGTTTCGGTTGAGGAGTGGACCCGGATGATCTCTTCGAGCGTCACTACGACGGTCTTTCCTCGGCTCTGTTTGGACCGATGTTAACCGTTGCATCGGACCATTAAGGTCGTCCTCGTATGCTCTCACCTCAGTGCAGTAGGCGTTGTGAATTTCTTCCCAAGTGGTGGGAGGGTATTTCATGAGTCTGCTTAATAGTTTTCTTGTCGCTCTTGACCCATTCCTGTTCAACCCATTCTGGAAAGCTGCCACCGCCATCCCTTCTGATACATTTGGTAAGCTTATTCTTACTCTGTTAAACCGGGATAATAAGTCCCTGAGTCCCTCGCCAGGCGATTTCCTAATGGCGAATATATCATTTACCCTGGCTTCCGCTTTCTTAGCCCCGGCGTGGGCGGTGACGAACTTGTCGGCCATTTCCTTGAACGTGTTTATATATCGTGCTGGTAGTTGTGAGTACCAAGTTAAGCCTCCCCCGGTAAAGGTCTCGCAGAACTTTTTTAGTAACATTGACGGTACTTGCTCCTTTAAGAGGTCGTTACCCTTTACTACTGTGACGTAGTGAATGATGTGATCTTCGGGATCCGTCGTGCCATCATATGTCTTCAAATATGGTGGCATCTTGAAGGTTTTGGGTATGGCATGTGGGGCTGCCTCCTCGCTGTATGGTTGTTCGACGAATCGGTCGACGTCTAGTTTTTTGGTAGCAATTTTGGGGCGCCCGATATTTTATCGACCCTTTCTTGATATTCCCTCATCTGGTCGCGGAGCTCCTTGTTCTCGTTTTCCATTTCTTCCATTTTCTTTAGAATGGCTACAAGTGCATCGTTACCTGCGTCAACAGCGATGAGAGTGTTACCTGTTGGGGGAGCGGGTTGCTCGTCAGCGATCGCTATGGTATCCGTCTGTATGACGTCTCTATTCACCCGCTGAGCGGGTTTGTCGAGCATGTTATTTAGAGTGCTTGTCAGCCACTCTTCCAGTAATTTTTTTACTGCTGGTGGTGCTTTCTCAACTGTGGACGTGGAGGCTCCCCTTTCGCGCGAAGCGGTTACACTTCCAAGAGGGGGAGGTGAATCACTCCGCCTGGGTGTAGCACTTGGTGTCACATTCTCCTCGTCTCCTCTGTCATCCTCGTTGATGGTGTTTAAGATGTTGGTAGTGACACCCATTATTGCTTTCTGTCTTTCATCTCCTTTCCCTGCCATTGTTAGTTTGTGCAGACGAGAAAAAGATGGTTGTCCTTTATGATCTAGAAGAAACTAAAAATTTTAACTAAAAAACTCCCCACAAACGGTGCCAAATTGTTTGACCAAAAAGTGTTAAGCCTTTTGTTAAACTAATTAATGATGAAATGGAGGATGAATCTTAGTTAAAAATAATAAATTCTAGACCAAATATTGTAGGAAATCGTTAAGATGAATGGCGTTTGAGAGCATTAAATAGCACGTTTGTAGTTAATGAGTATCAGTAAATATGATAACATGAACATGCAATAAATGTAGATAATGACAATAAATGTAATAAGAAAGAATCTACCACCCAATTATTATATGATTTTGATGGTTCTTTCTCCTGACAGCAACGTGGAAAGGTGAGAAGCGAAGATGGCTAAGGAATCTTTGGATCTTGTGAACAAAGATTAAACAACGTGTGCTTGAATAAGATAATCAGTGAACAAGACTACTTTTGTATATTCTCTCAAGTCAACTTTTTACATGTGCTCTTATTAGAAAGTGAAGATCCCCCTTTGTTCTCTATCTCTTCCTATTTATAAGGGATATTTCCAAAAAACCCTAAAAAGTACAAAATAAGAAATATCCAAAGGAATATTCCTCGTGTCCATTTCTAAGTCTATCCTACCGTTATCTCTTTATTCCAGCTGCTCGTTCCTGACAATAGCCTTCCCAAGGACGGCCTCCCGCTATTACGTCGTGGTCGACCTCGTCCTCGATACTGTTTGTCTACCGTTACCAAGTCGCCAAATTTAGATCAATACAAATATTGTCAAATCACATTTTTAAATGACCGAAACTTGTGTGTGCCTAGTAGGACAGGGTGGTAGCGATTCGAGGGAATTAAAGAAAACACTGAATCAAATTCTTCTAATATAATCATTCGTCCCGTAATTTTCATTGATTAATGAGTATAGTATCTACTTGGACTTAGAAATACGAACTATAACAATATTGAAAGAATCAAGCATCCTTAATATTGAGTCAGTTGACAAAATAGTACCAAGAACTTAAATTTATCCCATACATGATGTAGTATGATTATGATTATTAGGTTTTTTTTATTTTTAACCACAAGTCGTGAGTTCGACTCTAAAAATACAGTACATCTTAGTGTGGAGTGCTTCTCTTCCTGCTAGTAAATTCACCCGATACAAATCTAAATTAATTAGGTTCAGGTGATTTCAAATACAAGATCCCTAAAGAAGGAAAAAAAAAAACCTTAATCTCTAATTAAATGCCCTAATATACTTAGAGTGAGACATTGCATAACTCATCATTATCAAGATGAGAATAGGACAAACACAGGAACCCTTCACTCTCCAACCACACATAATGGGCAGATAAATCTCAGAGCCGACAAAAGGTTATTCTTTTCTTCCACCTTTCTAGACCTAAATGAGTTTTACAATCTTAAAAGGGTAAGATTAGTGTAATTGTCAAAAAGTTTAGGCTTTGCTAAGAAAAAATGAAGATTAAAACGTGAATAGTTTAGACAAACTTATCATTTCACCACACCACAAAAATTACACATGGGGAGCAAAGCATGTGCAGGTTTTATGCCAAAGTGCATGATGTAGTAGAACAGATCAAAAGCATTCAATTTAGAAAAGTGAAAGGATCAATCATTTCTGGACCTAAAAACCTTCTTTTATAAAGGTGCTTCTTTTCTCCTTTTCCCTCTTTTCTCTCCTCCACTATTATCTAACTCGAGAAAAAAATTTATAAGTAACGTAAAGTATTTAGAAATATTCTTATAGGAATCTATAAACTTCAAATTCTGGATCTGTGTCTATATAAGTCCATCGCGTTCCGACACTACCAAAAGTCCCCATCTCTTCTAACTTTCCCTTCCTCCACTATTTACGAGCTAACTCCAGCTACTCCAAAATATTATGAGTGCTGCTATTCGGCCAAACTCAGCGTGGCCCAAAAATGACCACACCCGTGAAATGCCAGTAATATCCTTGTTTTTTCGTTTGGCTTAATGGCCCTTTTTTCCCCCCAAAATTAGTTAATAACTTTTGATTATTACAAAACATTGATCCCATAAATCATCATTCTCTCGGCATGGGAAGATAAAAAGCCTTCGTATATACGGATGGCAGCCTTCGTATATACGCTCAATTATGTTTTTTTTAAAATATAATTACGAATTTTTGTTAAATACAATTACGTATTTTTTTTTAATTAAATGCAATTTATACGGATGGGAAGATCAAAGGTCTATCATGTATATATCATACCATATACTTATGTTAAGATAGCTTTCATTAAACACATAATTCACCACACTTCCCTTAACCTAAACATGAATACTAACCGAGAAACTAGTTTGGACCCATTAAACCCGAATAACAGTCTAGAAACTAGGTCGGATCAACTAAGGAATGCATTACACATATCATTAGGGTTGAATTCGGACGACAGTTTGATGAATGAAGATGAATCGATCGACATTGATTCAGACGGCAACTTCAATGATGGAGAAAATCCTGTTGACGATGATGCTGCTGATGATGATGATGATGATTACGACGGCCATTATTTAGAGGAAGAGGGAGAAGTTGGAGAGGACAGGGAAATGCCTAATGAGTTCAATGAAGAAGATCTTATAATTGGTCCAATTACTGGGATGCGGTTCAGTAGTAAGGATGTTCTGTTTGATTTTTACAAAGAACATGCAAGATTATCGGGTTTTTGCATTGTCAAAAGAACGTCCAACAAAAAAGGTGGTGATACTGTTAGGTATGTGCAATATGGTTGTGATAGGTCTAGGAAACCAAGGAATAAGCATGTTACCAAGAGGAAGAACTGCCATGCTAGAATAAATGGAATTTTGGAGGAGAATGGTTCATGGCGTGTTTCAAAGGTGGTAAAAAAACATAATCATCAATTGGAACCAGCACTATCGCGATTGATGGCTGGACACAGATCGCTTAGCAAGTCTCTTAAGAGAACTCTTGCAGCCAAAGATATTGCTGGCTTAAGACCCTCAAAAAATATAAGAGTCGCTGAAGTACTTGCTGGTGGCCCCGAAAATCTGGCTTGTACACCAAAGGACTGTAGCAATTATATCTTGAAGAGTAGAAAGCTTCAGTTGCAAGAAGGGGATGCACAATCATTACTCAAGTTCTTCAGTGACATGCAGCAAAAAGATAGGAAATTTTACTACTCCGTAGATGTGGATAGTTTTGGTCGACGTCGTAATGTTGTATGGTTCATTCACACTCTAAGGTTGCATATGAGGAGTTCCATGATGTAATATGCCTTGATACCACATACCTTGTGAATCGATACAATATGCCATTTGCTTCATTTGTTGGTGTCAATCAGCATAGGCAGTCCATACTTTTGGGATGTGCTCTTATGTCTAGTGAGGATATAACAAGTTACAAAATGGTGCTATCTCCATGGCTTGGGGCTCTAAACAATGTTCATCCATTAGCTATCATGACTGACCAATGTGATAGTATAAAGGTTACCATCAGTGCTATGATGCCAAATACAATACATAGATATTGTATATGGCACATATTCGCAAAGTTGCCTACGAAGTTAAGCGGAGTTCTTGATGGTAAGATTGCAAAGGCAGAATTTAAGGCTTTAGTCCTTGATAGCATTAACGTTGCTGAGTTTGAGAGACGATGGACTGATTTTATTGAAAAATATAACTTAGAGGAAAGGGATTGGTTTTATAAGCTTTATTTGGAGAAGGAGAAATGGGTTCTGGTATACCTAAATGACCACTTTTGGGCTGGGATGTTGTCCACACAAAGAAGTGAAGGAATGCATGCTTTCTTTGACGGATTCATCAACCGGCAAAGCACTTTGAAGCTATTTGTTCAGCAATATGAGTTAGCCATAAGAGCTAAGTTCGAGAAAGAATTGGAAGCTGAATATAGGTCAAGGTGCTTTGAACCAAAATGTTTATCTGAATTTGCATGGGAGGAAAAATTTCAAACATGTTATACTCGTGAAGTGTTTGAATTTTTTCAATTACAGTTAAGGAAACTGTACCACTGTGAAATCAGCTCCCCTGAAGACCATCAAGCAACAGCAGGGGTGGAGAATTACATTATCTCAGATTATTCGTTCAGGAGTTTTAACACTGGAGATCCATTTGTATTCGCGGTTGAATATACACCTATTGGCGAATATCTAAGTTGCAGCTGCAAGTGGTTTGAAACAAGAGGTATTCTATGCTGCCATATACTTAAGGTGTTATCTCATAAGAGGATTAATAACGTTAATGAGAGGTATATATTGAGAAGGTGGAGAAAAGATGTTGTTCGTCCGCACTTGAAACGTTTCTTTCTTGGAGGTTACCCACGTATGACTTCTGAATACATGATGTACAGGGAAATATTAGAGCATTTTGAACGGGTTTGTGATATAGCATTGGACATTGAAGTGATGAGGCGATATATTAAGTATCATTTGAACAGATTGGAGCATGACCTTTTGAATTGGGATGATGATCAAATGATAATTCCAGATTGGGAATTTGAAGATACACATGATGGTGTGGGTGAGGGTGTGGGTGAGGGTGGGGGTGAAGGTGAGGGTGAGGGTGAGGGTGATGAGGTGATGGTGAAGGAAGAAATATAAGAGATCCTAGATACGTAGCTTCTCGTGGACGTCCAAGGTTGAATAGATATAGAGGGCGAATTGATTCATACTTTAGAAGTTCACAAACGGCTGGTGGAAGTGGAGTTAGAGGTAATAGGAGGGGTAGATGTGGTGGTAGAGGTGGTGGCAGAGGTGTTGGCAGAGGTGGTGGTAGAAGTGGTGGTAGAGGTGGTGGTAGAGGCCGTGGTAGAGGCCGTGGTAGAGGTGGTGGAAATACTGGGCTAGCGGAAGGAATTGAGGTAAAGTATAACAAATTATTATTATATTTTTTTCCGAAAAATACATTGCTTATTAGTGTTATTTACTCTATACAGCAAGATGATGCAACAGTACAAGCACACAGTAGCTTGCCTGATCTTAACGATGAAGCAGACTGGGAGATAGAAGACTTGACCGTTTAGTTTGAGATGATTTAAGTTTGAATCTTATTTAATTTGATTTGATATAGATTTTTTTGAATTTTTTGACGTTGTTTTGTAATAATTTAAACGTGTGAGATAATAATTATCATTGTTAAATATTTCTTCATTTTATTCTTACTTCATTTTATCAGACTACACTATGAAAATGTGATTAGAAGTGAAAGACTTCATAACATTATAATCAGTTCAAACTAAGAACTAAAATACTCACATTTAGTTACTATGAAGCATTTATTATTCCCAACCGTTTTAGTAGTGTGTAGGTAGAATTAGGTTGAATTTTAAGTGCATGAATCAGTCATAATCACTTCAAAAGTTGGAGTAATCTCTTCTTCAATATCACTGGAAGTAGAAGAGTAAGATATGTCGTCACTGCTAGTAGAAGAGTAAACTAGGGTTTGTGAGTGTTTTAGGTCTTTAGTGTTTGAGTATGTGACCATATTTATAGGGGCCAAGCCAGTATCAAACATCCTGATTTTCTGTCAGTGAAAAAAACAACCTATTTTTGGCCACACTATCTGGTTTTGTTTGAATTGTCGTAATTAATGATGTTAGTTGAATTGCATTTATTTCAGGGGAAATTTGGTGTTAGTTGACTTGCATTTATTATTTCGGTTACCAACCCTTTTTTGAACTAAAAACTATTCACATTCCAACTATATAGTTAGGGTTTGTAGTTAGGGCAATGAAATGATACCAAGTGATATACCAATTTGATAACTGAAAAATCAAAAGAGTCCGAAATCAAAATACACATTACATAATAACCAAACTGGAAAATAAAAGTACATATTACATAAAAAAAAGCTAACAAAAGTTAAAAACAACACAAACTGGGAAGACAAAACATAACTAGATTTCAACGGGATCTTGGAGAGTTCCTCGGCCTGTCACGTGCAATTGGAAGATAACACAGAATTCTGTAATTTCGACCAACTCAAAGTTAATTAACCAACCCCGCTTGATGTTATTATTCATCACAAAATATTTCCAACCGTCTTTGAACCATCTCCGCTTACCCATGTTAATTTCCATAAACCAAGGCTCGCCATCATAGTGAAGAATCGTTGTGCTATGTGATTCAGGAAGGTGTTCGTAAAAATGTTTTGGAATATGCTGCAAACAAAAAGAAAAAAAATTGAGAGATTTGTTTGTTTCAAACTGGATTTGAGAGAAAAAAAGAACCATCTCCGCTTACAACCAGATCTGTTTGTTTCAAACTGGATTTGGTTGAAACTCAATTTTTTATGTATACTTGGTTGGTTGAGAGATTAATAAAAAAAAATTAAAAAAATGGTTTGTTTGATATTTTATTACAACCAGATCTGTTTGTTTCAAACTGGATTTGGTTGAAACTCAATTTTTTTTGGTTGAAACCAGATGTGCCCCTCTTCAAAACCCAGATGTGCCCCTCTTCAAAAACCAAGTCGAAAATCACAAGCATTTAAAAAAAACAGAATTTTAAATGAAAAAAGAGCTCATTTACCATATAATCTTGCGTTATGTATGAATCCTTCATCAGAACTTCAAAAGATGGATTCATATCTTCGTCGGATGGGGATTGTTTGGTTCAAGGGTTTTGGTAAGAGTTAGGGTTTAAAAGTTGTGTGTGGTTGGGTATGGACTATTATATATAGTGGTTGGGTATGGACTATTATATATAGTGGTTGGGTATGGACTATTAAATATTTCTAGAATTAGATATTGAATTAAAGAATATAATATGTACTTATTTTTTTGTACATAAATATTGAATTAAAGAATACAAGAATGAGTGCTTGTTATTAAGGTTAAAAGATCGTTCAATTTTACATAAGAATTTGATCTATTGATTTTGCATGAATTTGAAAAGAATATCCTTTAACTATATCTTTTAAAAACTGTTATCATTTGTGTGCCTAATGTTAAATATAAAATTATGGATATTTTGTTACTCCATATACTTTTATCACATTTTTGAACTTTGTTTGAGAATAAAAATGACAAATTCATTAATGATCTCAATATGGTCTACTGCAAAANAGCAGCATATTTGTTTTTTCTATATCCAATTCCCAGAAGTCATTGCTATATTATTTCCTTGTCTCCAGATAATTGGTAAGATAATTACAAAATAAATTATGTGTAAGGTTAGTGTCATGTATAGGGATGAATACCTGAATTCTAGTTTCCTCCCTCACTTTTCTTCTCCAACTATGGTCGCCGCTCGCCCGATTCCTCTTCTCTTCATTCTATTTTTTCTTTCTTTCCTTCTTAGCGTTTTGTAGCTTCTATTGTTTAGCAGCAGCTTTGCTGCCTTTTGCCCTTTTCGTTTCTCTTTCCTCCAGATGGGCTTTAGCCCATTCTCTTGTTATTTCCTTTATTTCCTTTTTTGTTAACTTAGTTAAAGACTTATATGCCTTTACTAGTATATAGGGTATTACACAGTAACAAATGCATCATGCATTTCTTACTAGGCAAAGGATCTAGTAGAGGATTCTAGTAAAACCTCATCTTCTTACTAGGCCAAGGATCAACTCATCTTCAGAAGCACAATTAGAGCACATAGATATTTCCGTTTTAAGCTTCAAGCTTAAGCATTAATGACATTTTAACAAATACCATGCTTAGTGACTTCAAGCTGAGGCATTAAGCAGTCATGTTAACAAACACACACGGCATTATGAAAGATTCACATCACGAAACATAAGAAAATTAAAACTAGCCAACAAACATAATTGTATTAAACATGGCATAGCATGATTGTCAAAATACGCCATGTAACATAATTGTCAAAACATGGCATAGCAGAATTGTTAAAACACGCAATCAAACCATGTCATGTACCAGAATTTGTCCAAAAATGCAATTTTCCAGAATTGTTTAAAAAACCACAATTATACTAATATTTCAATACAAATTCAGCAACAGGTGATGCACACCTAAATTCAGAATTCTCAATTGCTGATCTGAGAACTTTATAATCTACATTCATCAACGCCTCGATTGTGATTTTCGCAAGAGCCGGAGACTTTGCCACAAGAAGCTTCAACAGTTGCATGTGAGGACTTATCCCTCGAAGCCTCCTAATCACAATTTTTCTGAGGTTGATGAATGTTGTTTCTACAAAACTTGCTTCCAAATCAATGTTATCACGTGCCATAGGTACACAACAAGATTCCACCTACGAAATAATTAAAAAAAAATACCAAATGATTTCAGCACCTAAGAAGTCACTATGGAATGAGAATAAGAATATAACCAAATGATTAAGTAATAGAGTAACCTTGATTTCCATATGTTCTAAACATGGGAAGCTTTTCATCAAAGACAAAGCACAGGCAACGTAATACAATTCACCGAGATAAAGACCAGAAAGGTAAAGATTTTTGACACAGCCAACAAGAAAGGGGAGATTAGTCGGTACATCTCCTGCACCTGCAGCCATTAACTAGAAAGAACATCCCAAATAAAAATGATGGCACATAGACCACAATATAATCCATCTATGAAAAAGCACTAGACTGAAGTTATGAAGCACATTTACCTTGAGGCTATGGTTATCCAAATGGAGATGCTCCACCGCAGATAAAGACTCAAGAACCCTAGTATAGTCAGGTATTGCTTCCAGGACTAAGCCTCCCCTAAAAGCAAACGATACTTGTGCCAGAAGAGGAACATTTCTTAAACTGATAGCCCATACTCTGCCTGTGAAGTCAAGGGACTTCAATTTGGGGGCATCAATAAAAATGACACCAGACTGATTATCTGAGAGCAGAAGCACCAATTGCTTGAGCAACGGGCACTGAGAGATTAAGGTTCCAAACAATGTGTACTCGATTGTAACATTGTATAGCTTAAGGCAAAGTAACCTATCAAATCCTGTGTAGGCTGTCGGATGGTTTATTGAACAATCTTCAAGAGATAGGTGCCTCAAAAGCACACATTTGAAAAATAAAGCAGGCAATTTGTATGGTGTCGTCCTATACGGAAGGTTGCCTAGTATATCCAAAGGTAAAGTTCTAATGCAATTTTTTCTTCCGACTGGAGCCATCATATTAGGCTTATGATTATAGGCAAAACGATGAAGAGTAGGATAAACGAAAGTTAAGATTACGATTATGGAAAAAGAAGAAGAGGAAGAAGCAAGAAACCTGTTGAAATTTTGAAGATGGAGCGCCAAAAGACCATGGGCGGATCAACTCCAAAAGCGAAATTTTGGGGGTATCGATTAAACAATCCCAAGGTAGATATGTATACAACCCTCATTTAGAATTTCAATGTATATAAATGAACGTCTAAAATGCATCAAAGTTATAATCGGTTCGTTGGTTAAGTAAGCGTATGAATGAGGCAGGCGTCTCGAGATCGACTCTCACCTTTAACAGGGTGTATTCTAATTTTTTCCAATCAAGCCAATCATTTTNACCCGAAAGCATCGACTCCCAAAGACATGGTTGGATATACACTAAAATAACAAAAAAGAATCAACTGAAAATTCTCTGAGACAGATGAAGAAAACACTGTGTTTGCCGGAAAAGTACTGTAGCTGCCGGAAAAATCAGTGTAGTCGCCGGAAAAACTCAAAGTGGTACGGAATTAAAAAATAAAAAGTATGGACAGGCTCGGAATTGCAGGGCGATCCAACTGTCCTGAAGAAGCGAAGCCGAAAAATGGCCGGAAGAGGCCTCACGCGCCGGCGCGTGGGACAGACGCGCCGCCGGCGGCAGAGTTCCGACAGGCGCGTGACGGCGCGTGGAGGGCTATTTTCCGGTGATTTTTTCTGGGGTTTGGTCGGATCTCTCTTGGGAACCTTGTGGTGGTGTTGGATTTTGCACAACACTGTTAATTAGTGACTTTGACGCAATAAGTCACTTAGGTCACCGGAAAATTGCACGGTGACTGAGTTCTTTCTTCCCGGAAGTCGCTGGAATGATGCACAGCGATATGTTTCTCACTAAAGCTCTGATACCATGTGAGAAAGCACGGGAGAAAATATA